GAGAAATCAAAAGCAGACGGATCTCCTGGGTATGGCCAGAACACAGAAATTAAAAAATAAATGAAAAATAAAAATAAAAATAAAGCCCATCAAATGGTAACAAAAGAAAAAAAAAATAAGCCCCTCAGAAACACATGCACTGTTAATTCAGTTTTAAATATGATTTAAAACACCATTTCACTTCGACATTACCTACCAAGTTTTACTGAAAGTCACAAAGGCCTACTTAGTGTGACTTACTTCCAAAAAAGTAACTTAATAATGTTTTGAAAGAAATAAATAATTTCCCTTTGCATGAAATTAAAGGCCATGGTAAAAGGCAAAAAACATTACAGCAAATTACTTGTGTCTAAGGAATGGAAATAGAAGTTTTATCTCCTCTAACTACAGCCTAAACTTAAGCCTAACCTAAACCTAGATTTCCATTATTCCCGAAATCCACCTGAGAGAATTAATGAGAACATGGTAAGGAGATATTTGCTAGGATAACTAGAATGTTCCTAGAGTAAAGATAAATTTTTAAGGTGATGGCTGTTCCAATTACTCTAATTATATCAATGTATTAGATTATCACATATACCCTGAAAATATGTACATTTAATATCTATCAATTTTTAAAAAAGAAAAAAAATTGCTAGAAATCTCAATACTTATTGCTGGGCTGTACAATGTTTGTAGTCTTTTAGTGGACTTAATAATTAGCACTATCTGAAGAGCTGAACAGTCTCAACATATTTAACATCTTAATATATACCCCTTCAAGAGACGATATACCAAAGTATCCTGGCAAAAATTTATAGAAAATGTAAATGCTATAATCTGTGTATTTCTTTATTTGATAAGCTTGATAATTATCACCAAAAATTATTATGTGGCTAAATGATGGTGAATACGATGGTAGAAAGTCTGATCCACAAAGGAATATTTTGAAAACAACAAGTTCTCAATCACTGAAAATTTCTAGCAGAGAATGCAAGGTCAAGAATACAGGGGGATGAACTAGGTGACCATTTTAGGTTATGCTTTAAGATTCTATATGAGAAAATAGACTAGAAGGATACATGAGAATCCGTAGTGAACATTTCTCTTTAATAAACTATGTATTTTTTTCTTTATACTTTTCATTAAGCATCATGTTTTCCTTTTGAAAGAGTGCTCTTTAAGCTGATACCCAAAGGATATATAAGGAGAGTAAACAATAGTATATCATTCAAACTGGTACACTCTCAGGGCAGAAGGGGTCATTTATTAATAATTATGCTAAGATAATAGGTATAAAATTGGGGCTATCCCAGATAAGCCTGGATATAAGGTCACTCTAGGCATTATTATTTGCATTAATAATCTGTCATTACCGGTGAAATTTGGAGAAATAGTAAAGCTATATTAACTCATATAGTAATTTTCTAGATTCTGTTTGAATAAATTAGTTAATTTTTTGGCAGGAGTACCATTTTCCATCATATATCTTAATAGTGCATTTTCAAAAGGCTAGCCTATCTCTGTTTCAGTTAATCAAAGAAACTTAGATACAGGTGATTCTATTTTTTTACAAAAGATTAGGGAGTAAAAAGACCACAATTCACATGAAATAATTAAAATATATATGTATGCATGCGTGTACATGAATATGATATATATTCATTCTATAATCTAGGTAAGCCAAATCTAGAATATGAAGGTAGAAGAAGAAAAAAGAAAAAAATAAAAAAGGTCAACAACAAAGAAAAAACGACTATAGAGTAATTCTGCTTTAAACACAAGCTGGAAAAAGAAAAATACTGGCAAATAAGGAGGGCGTGAGCATGGCAGTGGAACACTGTTTACTTATGTTTTCAAATGGGTATATTCTATAACCCTGGGTGACAGTCCTATTATATAAAATAAGATATGGTAAAGAGTTGCTTTTTGTTTTGGAACAATTTGATTAAACATTGTTTTACATGTAAGTATTGCTATCTAAAGAGTTATTTTGTGACTAGTTTTTCTAAAAAAATTCAATAAAGCTAATTTATGTATAGAAAAGCACTCTTTAAAAGTTAGAGCAACTCTTAAACAATAAAACCATATAAAGCCTCCTTTTCTCTGGTTCTTTTCAAAATACGCTGTAATTTTACAATCAATCCCAAACGTATAAAAGGAATAAGAAACTAAACTTAATTCATAAAATGAAAAAGTGCTCATTAATTTATCTTAGGTAGATCCCAGAGGAGGCATCTATGTGTTCGATTCCAAAATAAATCTCTATTAGGAGCCTCAGAAGAATTCCACGGGCACCCATTCCAGGAAAGAACTTTAGGAAGCAGTTAAGAAAGCTTGGAAGGACGAAAACAAGGTTTTGTATCAGTCCTTGAGGGCAGATTCAGGGCAATTCTTAATTCTGTGCTTTGTTTTTAAAACATTTACCAATTAGTACCTAGTCTGTGCACCCTTTAGCAGCCCAAAGAAAAATGGGGCAGTGAGGACACAGCATCAAGCTGACAGAAGCAGCCTATGCTTTTAGATTACCCAAAGAGAAAGCTCATGTCATTACTTTCAAATGAAAATTACATGGGAGAAGTAATTGGATCAGGTAAATTTTCAAAAATGTGGAGCCAGGATGCAGTGGCTCACACCTGTAATCCCAGCACTTTGGGAGGCCAAAGCAAGCAGATCATTGAGACCAGGAGTTTTGAAACCTGCCTAGCCAACACGGCAAAACCCTGTCTGTACTAAAAATACAAAAAACTAGCCGGGCATGGTGGTGTGTGCCTGTAATCCCAGCTAATCGGGAGGCTGAGGCACAAGAATCGCTTGAACCCAGGAGATGGAGGTTGCAGTGAGCCAAGACTGCACCACTGCACTCTAGCCGGGGCAATACAGCGAGACCCTGCCCAAAAAAAAAGGTAGCACCCAAATCCTTAAAGCCAATGAAAGAAGCCTTAAGAAAGATCAATTTCCTTTGCTTCACAATAATTCAAACAAATTATATTCTTGGTAAGGAGCAAGTCCTTAATGCCTGATGAAACTACATTGGCCTTCTAGTTGTTAGACTCTAGTTAAGAATATTTTAAGTGCATACATTTACAACTTAAAATATTTAAAACTACTACTTCAGATAGTAGGTTTCCAGAGTGGTCAATAATCTCCACATATTTTATTTTACACTCATGTGCTTATCTCTAAACCACTGTCATTTTCCCACCTTGTAGCAAAAAGGATCACACAAAATAAACACAAACAATGCGACAAAGGAACAGAAATCCACTGTGAGAAAAATTACAAGCATAGTTTTACTGGTTGCAGTCTGAATAGACTTCACTTTAAAAAATACTTACCTAGTGCTGGAGAAAGTTCTGTATAGGCATATTAATCGTTTTTGTTTTAACTGAAAACTGGAAGCTTAGAGTGTAATTACCTCTTTAATAATTAACAAAAAATTGTTATAGTCAGAATTAAACACTTTTAGTGTTGATATATTCTACAAAGGAAGGGAATAATAATAAGTAGCATTAAAACAGCACATACGTTTTTATGTGTACAGATGGGGGCAGGAGGTATATACCACTCTGTTATCAATTCCCAAAGTATGGTGAATTTGGAGTATGAAATTGGTAAATATTGGCTCATTTATTGGCTTTATTTAGCTTTCCCTCAAATTTCATGTTTAAGAGATTTAACCATAGCCAAAAGCTATTTTCAAAATTCAGTAGAGATGACCAAATGAAAATTAACTAAAAAATTGCTCTCACTTAACAAATGAAAGTAGCAAAAGCAAGGTAAATATTTACAGGCTTGGCCATAGCTAATGGTTTTGGTAGAATGTATTGCATGTAATGAGCAGTGAGCAAACTCTCAAGTAAAACATCCAAAAATTCAATTCATCAAATTCTTCATTTTTTTTCACACCACCACTGTAAGATTTTGCCATTCTCTTGTTCCTAAAACCATTGCTGTTTCTCTTAATGCATGGAAATTCTAATTCATATAGATTGGAAATTTAAAATAGTAAACAGGGGAAATAATTTTTTTGTTTTGAAAGTATTGCTCTGTCACCCAGGCTGGAGTGCAATGATGCAATCTTGGTTCACTGTAACCTCTGCCTCCTAGGTTCAAGTGATTCTCCTGCCTCAGCCTCCCAAGTAGCTGGGATTACAAGCATATGCCACCATGCCAGGCTAATTTCTGTATTCTTAGTAGAGACGGGGTTTCACCATGTTGGCCAGGCTGGTCTCGAACTCCTGACCTCAGGTGATCCCCCGACCTTGGCCTCCCAAAGTGCTGGGATTACAGGCGTTAGCCACAGTGCCCAGCCTAATAGGGAAAATACATTGTAATTAAAAATTTTAGTTCTTATATAGAACGTATTTAATACACACATAAAAGTACACACTACTTTCATTCTGATGCAAAAAAATCTAACTCACTATATGTGTCATTTAGGTGACTCTACAACCTGAGGACTGCCTATGTGTGTAGAATTTAAAGGAGGAAATCAGTTCATAGTGAATTCCTCAGTTATTGCTCACTGTGTTTAAGTCTTGCCATAATTTTCAAAAGAGACTGCATGTTAACTGAATAATCAAAACATTAAATTTGTTCTAAGTATGCTGTTTTGAAGCTGAATTTTGGCTGAATTCTTCTGATAGAATTCAGAATAGAATTCCCATAGAATTTCACCTTTTTTAGTCTTTGTGCTCTTCCTTTAAACAGAGAAAGCTGAGGCCAAAGTTAAGGCTCATAAAGAACTGTCATCTCCTACATCCTGTGTTCTTTACCTCCCACTCTCCCCTCAAGCTTCTCTGCTTCTTATTTCATCACCCCCCCCACCCCCATATAAGTATCAGAATCAAGTTTGGCCATGTGGTAGCTTATTTTTAGGGATAATCTAACCCAAGGTGGATACATAGGATACTTTTATGCAGGCTTGAAAACAGCTCATGTTTTCTGAATAGTTGGTATTTAAAAGAACACAAAACTAAAAAGAAATCAAGCACACTTGATATTGAAATGGAGCTTACCTTAGAGCCTCGTTCATTAAAGATTATTTCTACATCTAGGATTTTGCCAAACTGCTGCAGAGATAAAAATAAAAACATTTACTTATGGTCAGATTTTTATCCATATATTTTGCTCTCTCCTGAAATGGGAATAGTTTATTTTTCTTCTTCTGTTAACTATTTATTTAACTTCTATGTTTGTATTTGTTGGTAAGTTCCAATACTAGGTTCTGATTTTTTCTCATCACTGAGTTGACAGTTTCTCCTTTTCTCACTTCACTCACTCAGGCAATCATCCACCTCTATGTGTGGAAGCGTGTTGTCCAAAGATATGTACAGTGTAAGCCCACTAGATCCTTCATGTGGACAAGAAGTTGGAATTTTCCTAACTACATTGCATTTTTTAAAACAGTCTCAAATTTAAAAAGTCTAGTAAGTAGAATAATATACTATAGGAAACTGTTCCCCTCCTGTTTTTATACAAGCAAAGTATATTCACTATATAAAAAGCAGTAAATAAAAACAAAAAGGAAAAGGGAAAACAGAAAATAAAGATCATCTGCAATCCTACCATCGTAATGTTTCAGTACACAGCATTCCAGGCTTTCCCTCAGGCATGTAGAGATACATAACAATTGACATCAAATATATTCTATATATTGATTTTTTAAAAAAAGATGGAGTCTTGTTCTGTCACCCAGGCTGGAGTGCAGTGGCGCAATCTTGGCTCATTGTAACCTCTACCTCCTGAGTTCAAGCTATTCTCCTGGCTCAGCCTCCCAAGTAGCTGGGATTACAGGTGCCCGCCACCACAGCCAGCTAATTTTTGTATTTTTAGTAGAGATGGGGTTTCACCATGTTGGCCAGGCTGGTCTCAAAATTCCTGACTTCATGTGATCCGCCCACCTCAGCCTCCCAAAGCATATACTGGTTTTATTTTTTAACTTGGCAATAGATTATGAATAACTATCCAAGTCAATATGTATCTGTGCTACCACTTCCATAGGCTACATGCTAGTCACCATTTAAATATTCTGACAATAAACATCAAGCATATTTTAAATAACAGCTCTTTTTATTAATTCTTTAAATATTTTGACATTCAGAAAAGCAAACAAAAACTAAAGACACAAAGCCTAAACTCTATTGTTAGGTAGCTAAATAGCTGTGTAGAGGGGTTACAAGAAATACAGTAACTATTTAGGGGGAAAGTATATATTAAAAAAAGACAAAACTGTTTTAATCAATGCTTGGATGAAATGAACTGAAGGTATATGCAGAAAATTTCCAGATATCTTTCTGGCTCATATTTCCCTCTGAGTATTGTAGTCATCATTCCTGATTATCTACTTTTTCAAACCTAACTTTGGGAAATGTGAAAAAAACTGAAAAATAGAAAGAGCAAAACAGAAATCATGCTGTTCTACTGAACTGAATCATTACTATCTTTATCAAAAAACTTGTATTAATAACCCAAGTTTTCTACAGTAAGACATATTGATTTGGTTTAATAAAAAACATCATGAAAAACAGAAAATGTCTTATTTTGGATGGAAGGGCATTTATGCTTATCCTATAAAACGAAGATCTGTATGGTTCTTTGGAGTTTGTTTTATATTTTCTAATGCATTCTGATAATATCCTTCTAGAGTAAGGACCGCATTTCTTTTATGGTTAAGGAAAATGAGGCTAAAAGAAGCTATCTGTCAAGTTTATGAAGCTAATGAAATGGAGCATGGAAAACCCGCTCTTTACCAATGTTACTGTTTTTCTAAGTAATAGAGTCACAATGTGGAAGAAAATAAAGCAACTATGCATCTCTGGTAGGAAAAACTTACTGCTTTTGCACTTTATGCCTTATGAGAAGGGCATAATACATTTCAATAAATCACTAAGGCAGATCTGCAATGGACACTATTTTTCTGACTCAAGAGAAAACACACCTCTGACAGATGAGAATGTATTCTATTCTCACAGACCTTCGGAGACTAAGATTCTATATTAGCTCTGATAATTCAGTAGAGAACCTAATAACTCATGGTCCCTAGAAGTTTATTCTGTGTAACCCAAGTCTTTTATGCTGCCCTTTATTTTCTGTTGTTCTCTTTTCTGAAGAAATGGAAAATATGTGGTTACCATTTTCTGTGTAGAAGCTCTTCAAGTAATTCAAGAACAGCATTAAATCTCAACTCTGGCCTTCTCTTTCGTGTGGAAAATACATCCAGGTAGTCAGTTATAAATGACTAAATTTTGCCCCATTGTCTTGTCACCACGAAGCAGCCACAACTGAGGCTTAAAGAAGAAGATTTGCTTTTCTAATAAAGTACTAGGGCAGCTATCCTAATGGAATTTTTAAAAAAAACTGATTTCCCTCAGGATCTTTCTCAATCTATTTGTAGTTTAATCCTGAAGTAATAATAACTAATAACACATCTGGGGGATTAAAATCTCCTTTAATTGTAAAATCCATAAAAAGACTTCAGAGACTTACCCCAAACATCTGCCGGAGGTCAGGGTCCCGGAAGCGGAAAGGAATATTAGAGACATGCAGCCGTTTCGGGGTAGATTTACTCTCTGAATTTTCACTACTTTGTGTCTGTGACTGCTGGCCATCCGTCTGTGCTCCACCTTCTGTCTGCTAAGCAAAGAAATAAATAGTAATGTATGAAAAATAAACACAATTACTTTAAAATAATTAAAGTTATTCCCCCACAGTAACCATCTCCAAACAGTGTATGTTTAAGCAAAAATTACAGTTGTCCCTTCAAAGAAAACACCACCACCACCACAAAGATGTTACTAATGTTCTTAATGCTATTGTCTACAAACAAACTGTTGGTGTTTTGAGTATTTATAGTATGCTAGTAAAATGGGAGATAATAACACAGAAGTACTAAGTGACTTGCCCACGATCACATGGAGATACATTAGGATAATACATCTAGATATAAAAAAAAGTTCCTGGGCCGGGCGCGGTGGCTCACGCCTATAATCCCACAGCACTTTGGGAGGCCAAGGCGGGTGGATCACAAGGTCAAGAGATCAAGACCATCCTGGTCAACATGGTGAAACCCCATCTCTACTAAAAATACAAAAATTAGCTGGGCATGGTGGCCTATGGCTGTAATCCCAGCTACTCAGGAGGCTGAGGCAGGAGAATTGCTTGAACCCAGGAGGCGGAGGTTGCGGTGAGCCAAGATTGTGCCATTGCACTCCAGCCTGGGTAACAACAGCGAAACTCCATCTCAAAAATAAATAAATAAATAAATAAAAATAAGTTCCTTTATTCTTAGACTCTTAGTAGAACTTTCTAAGATATTTCTGTTTTGAAAATAGAGAATCTGCTATACTTAGTTATGGAGGTCACTGCATTTTTTGGTCTATTATCTCAGGCTCTCTCAAAGAAATGAAGTAAGGGAATATTCTTATATTTCATTCCCTCTATTAACTCTAGTATTATTACTGTATTGCTAATTATATTATTATTTATGGAGAGGAGAAACCCAGCAACAACTGAAGAAGCTCTCCTCCCTATGCAATTCCAGCTTACTTTAGTACAGGGAAAACCATCCTTCTGTAATCCAGAGCAAAGTGCATTTAGACAATCTAACTGTTGGAAAAGGCTTTGAGAGACCTTGGCTAATCTGCTAGTCAACAACAAAAAAAAAGCAAGAGTTGTACATATCCACAGTTAAAGAGCTGTGGATGAGTGTGGGTATGCGTTTATTTATTTTTTTAATTTCTTTTTTTTCTTAACTTTTTAAATTCATTTCAATGAGTTGTGCATGGTAACCCAATATGCTTACACACGCACACAAGAATCACATGCAGAAATCAATGTTTCAAGGCAGGACAGTTACTGTATGTGTCTACGCTCTGGTATTTTCTAGTTTGTTTTCATTTTTCTTACCTAGCATAAGCCAGTAAATTGAATTCATAACCCACTAAGAGGTCACAGCCTGAGGTCTGGAAAACAGTGAACTAAACAACCTCTTCAAGCACTCAGGTACTTCTGAAAACCACTTTTTGCTACAGTATCCTCAGCATCATTCAGCAAGGAGGGAGGCAACTCATCCCCACGTCCCCATGTCACACTGAAGGAGACAGAACGGGGCTTCCCATGGGCCACCCACATAAGTCAGTCAGAGCACTTGGACTCAGATTTCCCAAATTTCATGAGATTTCCACTCAATCACACTTGCCTTTCCACGTGGCTTTCAAAGTCATTACTAAGCCTTGTTTCCATGATGCCACACTCAAGTTTTAAGCGAAAATCTATTATGAAATGGAAACTTTTTTGGGAAACTATACTGCTGCAGAAAAAGCAGACTGTCAAGAGTCTCCGTTCTGGCTGCAGTGGGTGGGGGGAAGAAGAATCTACAACATGTGGTCCATGTGGTCTACAGGGCAGCTGCCTTTTTTTTTTTTTGAGATGGAGTCTTGTTCTGGTACCCAGGCTAGAGTTCAGTGGCAGAATTTCGGCTCACTGCAACCTCAACCTTCTGGGTTCAAGCAATTCTCTGCCTCCACCTCCCAAGTAGCTGGAATTACAGGCACCTGCCACCACGCCCAGCCAATTTTTTCGTATTTTTAGTAGAGATGGGGTTTCACATCTTGGCCAGGCTGGTTTTTGAACTCCTGACCTCATGATCCACCCTCAGTTTTCCAAAGTGTGGGATTACAGGCATGAGCCACCACGACTGGCTAGGATAGCTGCTTTTTAAAAATGAGTTTGGTGGGGCGCTGGGAGGGGACCACTAGAACTGTCATTGAAAATTCATTTGCTGCTCTCCAATCAGGAGACTAGAGCAGCTGCAAAGAACACCTGGAATCAGAAGTGAACACCTGAGTAACGACCCTCCAGGACATAAAGATGGTCTTCTGATGAGAAAGTCAGGGACCCCAGACACTGCGTGTCCTACATGGAATGGCGGACTGGCCAATGGCAGGGCCCATGAGGAAGCCTGGGACTTTCAAGGATGGCCCCGGGGTATTCTAAAAAACATTTCCATCACCAATACCCACTTGAATGGGCCCATGACTGTAAGGAAGGCACTATCAACTCACACCAATTCCAAAGGAAAAAACCCAGGCTCAGAGGCTTCCCAGTGAAGACAGGCACACCCCCCACCCCCCGAAAACCCCAGATTAGAGTGCATGGTCCTCCACCGGACAGACCCTGTGGTGGGTCCTCAGGATCCCAAAACAGGCTGCTCAGTGACAGGCACTGAAGGGGGCAGGGACAGGTGCTGGGAGATCCTGCCTGTGCAGAAAAAGTCCTCTCAGGAACAAATCACATTCCCGATCTGGTGAACCATACTCAGTAAAAACAAAATCCAGGCCAAACAGCAATGCCTTCAACTCAAAAGGAATCTGAAGAGTACAAAAGTTAGTTCAACATTGTAACCAAAGCAGTTAGGGAGAGCTTCTGAGATGATGAAAACCAAGGGGAAAGGGATGGAGATGAACAAAAATTACCTCATTAAGCCAGAGGCAGGCACAGCCACACCACTTCTAGAAAAGTGTAAAAATAAGGCAACAACTCAGGTTCCTAGGGAGAGGGACAGGAGTTGAGGGTGACTTGGTACCTGCAAGCAAATTCCTTAACTTCCCTGCCATCCTGGCACCTCATGCCCAATACAACCTCTGGTATTGGGACCAGTGTGGTGTCAGATGGCTGCTCTCCTTCAGGCCAGCCTTGCTGTCCATGCAGGGATACAGGCAGGCAGTTGCTCATGTAGGAGACTTTCTAAGGATTCCACTGCCAAAGAGCTGCACCTCTGTCTTTAGACAGACGCTTGGTGGCCACTATCTCCATTCTTCTTCAGTCTCATCTTCCTTGTGGTTGCGGATGCTGCGGACCAAGTCCTGCGGGTTCTTGTCAAACATGTGGTAGATGATGCCCTTCACTATCTTGAGGGCCGGGGGCCTCGCCCACTGCCCGCAGATCGCTGTGCTGCCGGCCGCTGTGGTGAGGCAGGCTCCCAGGCCAGGGCGGCAGAGGAATCTGAGGACCCTGGCAGAGGCGGTGACCCGCTCAGCAGGGGCCACAATCCTACTCCGGGCCTCTTGCAAATGGTGGACATGCATTTATTTATTTTTATTTTTATTTTTTTTTAAAAATTGAGATAGTACCTTACTCTGTCACCCGGGCTGGAGTTTAATAGTGAGATCATAGCTCATTACAGCCTCAACCTCTTGGGTTCAAGTGATCCTCCCACCTCAGCCTTCCAAATAGCTAGGACTACAGGTACACACTATCAGCCTAGCTTAATATGTATGCATTTTTAATCATGTATCTCTTTTGCAACATCCAGGCATGCATTTGTCTAACTTTTTTCCACTAAGTCCTCAAGAAAGTTATGTTGAGAAAATTTTTGATAAATATCTCACAGGTGTGACACATTCTAGGCATGCGATTTGAAGTATTAATCTGGCAATTGAAGAACCTTGTGTTTTTACTATTCCCTATGAAGTGCATGCCAAACCGGATGGCTTGCTGAGATGATTAAATCAACATACTTTTAAAACAGGAGTGGAACTTACTGTTCTTATTCTCTCAAATGAGACAGAAGTGAGTCCCCAACAGATTCTTCTAGCTGACAGGATGAATCCCCTCCCTTTGACTTTCAGGCTAAAAGAAGCTGTGAATCAGAGATACTTTTGGCTCAGAGATGTTAGCAACCATCTTGAAATGAAGTTTGAAACTTTAAAATATAAAGGATAATCAGGAATAAACTCCAAATGAATACCAGCTTTTCAAGTCAATTTAAGTGATGGCAGCTTTTTATCTCATTCCATTCAGGCCTTGCAGATGGCTTAAATGTGCAATGATTCACGTGATATAAAAATAGCAGAAAAGGGAAGAGCTATGAAGCAATGTTCTGTGAAACAGTAAGGTTTTCAATCATCGATCTTGGCACAATGCAGACTAAACAAAACAAATTCAATTTAAAGATGAAACTCACTAAGTTACTAAAACAGCATCAAGCAAACCAACATGCAGTCAAAGCAACAAGCATCAATTACAACTAACTCTCATTCAAGTACCTTCAGACTTGCCTCTTACATCTCACAGTGGGATCACATAAAACTTTATCTTCAATCAAACTTTAAAACCACCAGATCTGCAAGATGACAATGTATCACTCTGAGGAAAGTTAAAAAGACCGATTCCACATACTCCAAATTACACCTTTATATATAACTTTATATGCAGCCCATGTTACCTGTCATAGTGTATGTGAAGTGGCAAGATAAATGAAAACCAATGATTACTTCAAAGTATGCTGCCTCAAGTGTTTATATCTGTCGCTCTTGATAGTTCTTTGCTTCTCTGAAGACACAATTTAAGATCAGAGGCAAGACTGGTTAATTTTGCAGCGTGTAGTGAACACCCCCCACCTTTTTTTAAGTATGAAATCTGTAATTCTATGTTGATCTGACATGTAGAAAAAGTGACCTATTATTATTTCCCAAATTTTCAAGACTTCTCATCTAATGCAATTTTTAAACTGAAGTTTAACATGCATAGATAAAAATACATAAATTAAAAGCACAGAGCTGAACATTCACAAAGAAAGTACACCCATGTAACCATGAAATTAGATCAAGAAACTAGATTCCAAGAGCACCCTA